GAGAGGGCTGTGTTAGGGCGGGCGGCAGCATAGACATGTACATAAAAAGTGCAGAGATGAGATACCCATAAATGAATTTGGATGTACTGGAGTTCATCGAAGATCTACACGACTTCCGCCATTGTGTTATACATGAAGTGGCATTTCACAGCTACACGATGCCTTCCAACAGCGGGTCCGGCCTCCTCTCGCCTGTCGGTGGCCGTCAACATCACCTCGCACGCAGTAACTGCTCATCTGAACGTGGTATCGTATTGTCCATTTTTGTCATGCAACCATGAAAGAGGTCTTAATCGCCTAGGAAAGCCATGCCATGCATAAGATCCCTCATTCTGTCCGATCAAAAAACGACCAGAACAGCCATTCGAGAGAACTCCTCCCAGAGACACCATGCACACCCATACACAGAACGCACGCCTTTATCGGTTGGACTTGGCGACACGCTCGAGCTCATCCTTCTTCTTGATGGCGTACGAGTTGCTGCTACCCTTGGCAGCGTTGATCAGCTCCTCAGCGAGGCACTCGGCAATGCTCTTGACGTTGCGGAAAGAGGCCTCACGGGCACCGATGGTGAGGAGGGAGATACCCTGGTTGACACGGCGGAGGGGAGAGACATCGACGGCCTGGCGACGGACGGTACCGGCGGAACCGATACGGGTGGAGTCTTCACGGGGACCGCAGTTGACGATGGCATCGACGGCGACCTGGATGGGGTTCTGGTCGGTCATGATGTGGATCTGCAATTGTCAGCCGTCTCCCGACGCGCATTTTATGCCATCTTCGCGATTCCGAAACCTGGCAGATTGTAGACGTACGATCTCGAAAGCGTGAGCGACGATGCGCACAGCCATGAGCTTCTTTCCGTTGTTACGGCCGTTCATCATGAGCGAGTTGGTGAGACGCTCAATGATGGGGCACTGGGCCTTCCTGAACCGCTTGACGGCATATCGGCCGGCGGAGTGTGAGATGTAGACAGGCGAGCGGATCTGGATGTAGTCGCTGCGGCTTCAGTTAGCCGAAGGTCTCGCAGCGTATTACAAAGTATCCAATGCCACCATTGTCCTTTTATACGGGTGTGCGGCGCGATATCGTGGGGGAAACGTACGTCAATGAGATGTCGCGGACCTCGACCTCCTCGTAGGACCACTGCGAAAAGTCAGTATTGTGCGTGTGAGCGGAAGTTGTAATAAGCCTGCCTTGTTGAACAGCTTTACGCTGCCCTGCTCGTCGGTGACATCCTTGGGGAGGATGGCAATGCCGGTGGGGTTCTCGACCTCGATTTCTCCGTTGTCAGACATGGTGGCGGTTGTCGGTGTGGAAGGGAGAAAGAGGGTTGGGCGTCGAAGTTCGTAGTCGCTGTCGCAAGAGATAATCCAGGTGTTCGAGTGCGATCAATTTCGACGTTCGCTTGGACCGCCAATCGTGCGCTAGCGGGGCTTGGCGGAAGTGTGCACGCCGGGGCCCGCTCATCTCGTCTCTTGAACACCACGCGAAGAAAATGGTCAATCGCTCTTACCAACCAACGTATCGTTTACAGAATTGACTTTGTGTTCAAAAAGGACGGTGGTCACAAGCACAAATACCCATTCATATCCACAGCAACTTCAGCACAGAACACCAAACAAAGTTGAACATGTCAATACTCAATTACAATATCGTAAGAACTAGCAAGAAGCAAAACTAAGGTATATAACGCAGTCGTTGCTTGTGCAAGACATATATGCAGACAGACAACGCCGGGAAAGTTCAAATGCAGCAATAGCCTCCAACGCCATGCAATGCCGCTAAGCGCAAGGTAAAGTCGCAACAGGAAATCAATGGTATCACGACTCTCGCTGCACCCTAGTCAGCACGGCAATCACCAGCCACTTCCACATCGTCCATCCTCGATCGCTCATCTCCGTATCCGCGATACACTTCGTACCCGAGTAACAGGCGCACTAATGTCTCTGCGGTCCTTTACACCCTCGACCATCTGCTTCATCGGCGTTCCGTGACCAGCGGCCATGCTTCTAGCACGTCCTCTACGCTCACGGATCGCTGCGAGTGCGGCTTCCCGGTCAATGCCTAGCTTGTTGAGTGACAGTTCACCCAGAACAGGGGTTTGTGCGTTGGCTGCAGCGTGGGCTACAGTCGAAGGAGTCATAGGCCCACGGCCAGCCTTGAACGCTGGAGTGGCAGGGGAGAAGTGAAGGGGGATGGTAGTTGTTGTGGTAATAGTGCGAGTGAGGTAGGGCGTCGTAGGCCCAGTAGGCTCCCTGTCGGGCGTCGGTGGTGACATGTCCTCGTCCTCGCTGTCGTCGTCGACGGCGTCTTCGTGGATGCTGATGTCTACAGCCTTGGTCTCCCTGCGGGTAGGAAGAACAAAGTCGACTCTCGATGCAGGACGGGACTGTGGCAAAGATATGTTGGCAGGAGCGACCGTGTCGGGCGCTGGTGCATCGGTCATCTCGACTACAGGTGATGGCTCTGCATGTGTGACGATGCCTGCTGACGGACGAGACTTCATAGGTGATGGCACAGAGCGGAAGGTTCCTGTGTCTGGAGAGAAGGCGACAACGGTCTCGGGCTCCTCAGACTCTGTCTTGACTACAACATCCTCAGGCGGTGTGATGGGACGCTCGTTCTCCACAGACTCTTGCTTGATCACTACACCTTCCATGACATCGTCTCCGTGGTTGCTGGCTGGGGGCGTAGAGATGGGTAGCGAGACCTTGATGCGCTGCATCTCGGCTTCGAGTGAGTCATCGTGGACGTAGTGCTTTCCCCTGTTCTCAGCGATGCGGCAAGAGCAGCACTGGAACTGGCATTCCATCTTCATGAAGTCGATCTGCTCCTCGGCACGTTCGCGAGCGCGTCTCTCTGCTGCCAGCTCCTGCTGAATGAAGCGCAGATCAACTGCGTTTTTCTTTGGCGACACGTTTTCCTTGTCGTCGTCCTCGCGTGCGAGGTTGCGTGGCTTGCGTGGCGATCGAACAGGTGATGCGAATTCATCAGTCTCTTCTGGGTCGGCCGATGGAAGCGGTATCTGGCCTTCCGCGGCGATGCGCAGAACCTCCTCTTCTTTCAAGCTCGTCTTAAGAGCGTCTCGCTCGCCCTCCACGAGACCAAGCTTCTCTTTCAGTGTCTGCACTTCTTCGTTCAGTCGGTTGCTAACGCTCTCAATCTCCACCTGCAGGCTGTACACCTCGTTCTTGTACTTGGCGGCTTCATCGGTCTTGAACTTGACATCTGACTCGGCCCGCTGCAAGCTACGCTGGATGCTCTGAATCTTGGCCTGAAGCTGCGGTATCATTGCGGAGCATCGGAGCTTCTCGTTGTTGGCCGCTATGTACTCCGCCTTACAGTGTCTATATTTGCCCTCGTAGGACTTGGCTCGCGATGCTGCTTCCGTCTGGAACATGTTAATAGGTGGAACTGTATAGAAGAGCATGGTGTACTTACAGCTTTGGCGTCCATACTCTTCCACCTCTCTTCGTTCTCCTGGAAAGCCTTCGCCCACTTGTCAATGGCAGCTTTGCTCTCATGGACTCTCTTCTCAAATCTTTCCTTGGTAACGGCGTTTGCAAGTGATTCCTTTGTCTGCTCAAGTTCGTGCTTCAGCTCGTCGATGCGCACGTCGCGTCGGCTCGACGACAACTCATGGTCGCGCTCCTTCTTGGCATGTTCCTTCTCGATCTTGTTCAACTTCTCCGCGTGTCGTATCCTCTCCTTGTCCAGCAACTCCTTGAAGCGCTTGCATGCTTCCCGTGGGTCCTTAACCTCGAGGTTCTCGAACATGCCCGTGAGGGCTGTGACGGAAACATCGGAATCGGTTCGGCGGTGTGTGTGTCGTAGGGGCGAGTGGGGGCGGAGGTTGGGTGTCGAGGGCGAGAGGACTGGCGATGAGTCCCTGGAGTCGCCGTACGGAGATCTTGAGCCAGCACCGCGGTCGGGACTGGCTGGGAAGATGGGCATCCCAGGCGAGAATGGTGCCTTGTTTGGCGAGAGAGGCGGAGGCGGATCCATCTGGACCGGGGATTCTTTGAGGCGCGCCAACTTGACGGTTTGGGGGGTTATGTATGTTGTCGAAGGGTAGCACCTGCTGTGAGTTTGGTTGTTCAACTTTGGTAGTCTAAGGAAGTTGTGCAGCACGTCTATGTAATATGTGGTGGTGCGAGCTCAGACGGTGAGCGATAAACAGCACTAGCTGCCCACGCGACGCTACTTCCCTGCCATAGCAACGCGAAGACGCACGGACTATTGATCCGCGAACCCCACGTCATGTTCTCTGAGCAATCCGACAAGCCGGGATTGTACCCTGTCAATCAGAAACGGCTACGCAGCTTTCGAACAAAATTACCTTCATGATCGTGCATCGCTTGGTAAACGAGTGGATTCAGTAGGTTTTCTAGATACCAGGGCAAACTCCAAAACCCAAAACATTACCCAAATGTCAACGTGGAACAAAGGAAATTGATACAGGCGTACGAGTACAGGCCAACCCTAGCGTTTGCTGCTGCATCACCAATTTCAGTCCATGGGACAGAGTCACCAGTTTCATCTCTAGAACACTCAGGTACCAACTCCAGCGAACCCTGCATATCCTCCTGTCTGTTGAGCAGGCGTGCCATACATGTTCGAGTTCGCAGAGGACGCAATAGCGCTGGTGATCATAGTAGTAGGTGCCGCTGAGTAACCTAGTATGGAGTAAGCATTTGAGATTCGACGATAAGAATGAAGGGGAATAAATACCGGGCTGCTCAGTACCCGTGGAGATCTCGGAAGCAGATACCACAGGCAATGCCGGGTAATCAGTAGCTACAGGCTGAACTGCCGAGTACATCGTAGTCATGCTCCCTGACACTGGCGGAAGAGAGGTGGCTGGGACATAGACGCTTGGCGTAGAACTGACAATTGGAGTAGGTGCTGCGAGTGAAGTTGAAGATGGCGTTGGCTCAAGAGGGGAACCTGAGAAAGCCGTGGGATAGCCTGGAATAGCCGAAGATGAAGCTGGGAACTCAGGAGCGACCGAAGACGACGCTGGATACGCGGGAGCGGCCGAAGATGACGCTGGATAAGCGGGAGCGACTGAAGACGATGTAGGCGCAACAGGGTAGGCTGAAGAGAGCGTCGAGGCGATGGGAAGGGCTGATGATGGCGTCGCAGACATCGGAGGAACTGAAGATGATGGCGGCGAAACGGGGTAGGCCAGAGATGATGTCTGCGAGGCGGAAGGGACCGGTACTGATGCCGAATAGTCTGGAAGGCCTGACGATGTCGGCGAGACAGGGTGGGCCGGCGATGCTGTCGAAGAGGCAGGAGGGAGCGGTGTTGATGCCGAATAGTCCGGAAGGGCTGACGACGATGTCTGGTACGAAGGAGGGGCAGAAGGCGACGTCGAAGGGGTGGGATGACCCGAAGGCGATGCCGGATAGTCTGGAGGGGCTGAAGAGGATTCTGGGTGCATGGGAGGGGAAGAAGACGATGCTGGCGAAACAGGGTAGGCTGAGGAGAGTGACGAGACGGGAAGCGTCGGTGTTGGCGAATAGACAGGAGGAACCTGTGTTGATGCCGAATAAACAGGAGAGCCTGACGATGACACTGAAGACACAGGAGGGGCCGGAGGCGATGCTGGATAGTCAGGAAGGGCTGAAGATGGTGCCGAGGAAACTGGAAGAGCTGGGGATGGCGTTGGATAATCAGGAGTAGCTATACAAAGTCAGCGGCACATACTGACGCGACTTCGTGATGTGCCAGTCAACAAACCTAATGCAGAAGAAGTAGCGGACCGTTGTGATAAGTAAGTATCGCTTTCTTCCGGATACGGCAGCACGGTGCTTGACGTCGGATACCCCGTTCCAGAAGGAGGCTTCGATGTAACGTTTCCTGTCGGATACGGAACGTGGATAGTTGGTGAAGTACCAACTGGGCCTGCACTGTGTGATACATGTGCCCCTTGGAGAGAGGTGATAGGGTAGGGTGCTACTGATGCTGTCGCAGGGTTGGCGGCATACGGCAAGGGCGTATCTATCACAAGGTTAGTTATCTGTGTTCCAGCAATCTCTGTCTGGGGTATACATAGTGGAACGCGCGAGAAGTGATGGAATTGAAAGACGTACTGTAGTTACTTGGAGTTACGCTGCTCTCCGGGATCGCACTGCTCGTAAGCTTACTTAGGTGGGGGGAGACAGGCGCAGGGGAAGGGCCATATCCGCCGCCAGTAGACCAAGCCACATTCGAAGTAGGAGTGACAGCAGGATAGTCTGAAGTCGCTGGATCCTCAGGAGGTGGCACGGATGATTCGGCAGGGTAATCCAGAACGCTGCTCGGTACAATCGAGCTTGACGAAGCAGCCGATGGCCAACCTGCAGTGATATCAGATGTTGCCCATCAACTTGAATATATTTTGTTCTCACCAGTGATGGTAGGGCCGCTCACGACAGGATAGGTGCCAATTATCGAAGCCGGCGGCACAATACTCGAGCCTGATAGCGTTATGGTTATGGTCACGGAAGTAACGCAGGACGTACCAAGGGATGAGGCCTGAGAAGCCATAGAAGATGATGCGGCTATGGTGGTCGGATGGATGTGTCCAGTGCCATAAGGCTCGCCATTTCCGCTGTACGCGGCTCTAGGTACGACGAGAGCAGATGTGAGGGTACTGTGAAGTACAATGGACGGAGCAACCCACTGGGAAAACCGGATACCCATGATGGAATGCGAGCTTCGGCAATGGTTTCAGGTTGGCCTAGTGTTCAGGAGGAGATGTAAGAAGAGGAAATAATGATGCGTTGAAAGTGCTTGGGGCAATACAAGTAGATTGACTGCCATACATATATGTTTTCAGGACCGATCATATCCAAGCAGCTGGGTAGAACAAATGTCAGGAGCTGTCAACATGTAACATCGACCCTTGATTATTTCCCACGCCTCCTTTCGATGTCTAAGAATGTCAGCAGCTCTGTCCATCTCGACTGCGTGTTGCGCAACGAACTGAGGGAGGCGTACTGCATGGTCGCTCTCCATCGGCCCCAAATCTGCAATGGCAGGCTGTGGCGCGGGTTTGGGGTTGTAAAGATGGCCCCAGGCGAAGACCGTGAACACGGCCATGACGATGACATGCAGAAAGATACTTGTCATCAACGCAAACGACACTTTCGACGTTGATCATGTGTCTGGTTGAGGTTTCGAGTTGGGTCGAGGGCTCCAAAACGCCACGAGGATACAGATGCCATGACGACAGAGTACGAGTTTCGCGATGCATGCTGAGCTTAGAGATGGGGGCTCACTCGGCTGTGCTGAGGCTTTTCCTCTCCCAGGACATGGAGGACTCCATTGTGTCAGGCTACCTTTCGTCTTTGTCCGTTTCCAGCATCCCAACTCTTCTTACAGATAGTAACGTCTATTGAATGCGCCTTGGGTATTTCCGAGAACGAGAAGCTCCTAAAAAAGCGCGCCAGACGCCAAACAGCTGCATATTTTGGGTGAATAAGTCTCTGTCATGCTTCGAGAGCCACCGGTGTGCCAGCTGGGAAGTCCAGGTGGCCGGCCGACGGACATTGCAGCACAGTCAAGGTGAACCCTCTCCACGAGACGTCAGCAGTATACCTAGGTAGCTGCGCCAGAGATTCACTTTGAAACAACTTGTCGACTCGACTGTTCCAGCACAACGGTGGACGTAGGCCCCAGCATGCGGCGAGGATGTCAGCTTAGGCAGACGATGTACCACCGCAACGCGTCATAAGGCAAAGCATGCCCATGGCTCCAAGACAATGGCCGCAGGTACCAAGTTTACCAAGCGAATGTAACGGTTCTAGAATCAGTGGTGGTCGTTCCCAGGCAGCGATATCGGCCCTCCCTGCTCGTGGTGGATGGAAAGTGTCGTACGATCCGTGAGGGGCTCGGTTACCGAAAGCTCGAGAATGGGGGCTGGGCCGCAGAGCCCCACACCAGCGCTAAGAGGGGCGTAATTTTAGCGTCACTGCCTTGCTCACCTGGGCCGGTGACATCAAGGTCTTGACAGCCTGTATCTCGCACCCTTGACGCAAAGATGGATTGCATGGATTTTGGATTTAATTTGAACTAGAACAAACAACAACGGATGATGACAATGGATATTAGAAATACTGAACAATTTCTACAAATCGCAATCTAGTCTACATGGACTCGCAATCTGGCGCCGTAAACATGATGAGATGTAACATGACCCGAAAACCCGTACCCATAACGCTCGCTTGACCATGACTATTATTGATAAAGACGCTCGGCTGTTGACAGTCTGCAATGTAACGCGATCAACATGAACGCCCGCTTGTACCGAATATGACAACTTTTAATTACGTTAAGAAGGAGACCAATTAGTACAGGAAGCATGATTCAATGACGGCCGTATTTGAATCGCACTCGTAATAACAGCGGCGAAGGAATATCGTCGACCTGGTCTGGAAATGTCGGAGGTAAGAATAATCGAGTTTCGCGCCATCGTATCAAACCTCCCATGGCTGTCGCTGGCGGTTGACTGTGCCGTAGGACCTCGGCTCGTCCTCTTCGAGCAGGCTTTCCATGATGGAACCTACTTCGGTGTTTGTCACGGTAATGGCGTCTTCCTCGTCGAGCTTCTTCCTCATACGGTAAACCTGTACCGAAACATAGATAACGAGTGCCGTGCCTATGACAAACGCCAAAGCAGCCAGAATGATGTTGATCGGGACTGGGTTGCCGTGCCACAAGCCCTTTGTCAAGGCGTCGATTGCGGTCTGCGACAGATTGAACAGGCCAGACACGCAGATGATAGTCCCGTAAACTCGTCCAAACGTAGCGAAGCCAAAGACCTTGGTCGCGTAGTCAGACATGGCGGAATAGTAAAGCGGGCGCAAGAAGACAAATAGGAGAACGTTGACATATCCAGCCCAAAGAGTTGAGATAGAGCCAATGACTCCAATAGCGGCGATGATGACAACGAGGAGCGAGAGTACGCCAGGTGTACTGACGTTATCGAGCAGTGCGCCTAAGAAGGGAGTTGCGACAACTCCAGCGACGGGCAGAGCAACGTCGAAGAAGTCGTTGACCTTCTCTGCGAGCTTGACTGATCCAAGCATGTACGTATACTGTTCGCGGATAGTAGCAACTAAGAAATGTTAGCAGTGTTCAAGCGCACTGAAGGGATTTACTAACTGAAGAAGTTCATTCGCACCATCTGGATCACGGTCAGAATAGTGAGCAGTATGAACCAGGGCGTCAGCATCTGGTCTTTGGCAGACTTGTTGTGCAGTGCTCCCCAGACACCGGAGTTTTCCAGTCTCTGCTCAGCCTTCTCTTCCCGGATCTTACGAGCCGCCTCATTGCCGATCAGCTCATCAAGTCTGCTCAATCTCTCCTTGCGACGCGAGCTACGGGCCTTCCTTCGCTTCCAGATCTCGTTGTCGGGTAGCTCATCATCCGAAGAATGAACGTCTCGCATAGCGTCTTCAGCTCTCTGAAGCTTCATTTCTAGCTGTGCCTCAGTCTTGTAGTTCTCGGTCGGTAAGAAGGTGAGCTGCGCGATGGCGATGGCTGCTGGAACGATGAGATAGACCAGGAAGAAAGTTTGTGGCTTGAACGCCCTGTCGCTAGCATCGTACATGAGCCTGTAGAAGAGAAAGACTGCTGCTGAAGCGTCGAATGCACCGGTAACGAGCGCAACGATGCTACCCGCATACTTGGGGAAGGCGTTAGCAATCTGGAAAGAGGGCAGGAAGACAAATGTGCCTCCAAGGGCAAGGAAGAAGTTTCCGATTGTATATCCGTCAAAATGCTCGATCTGAAACGCGAGACTCATTAGGATACTTCCAAGCGCGAGACAGAAAGAACCGCAAAGGAAGCAAAGCTTGGGCCCATAGCGATCGAGCAAGGTACCGACGGGGAGAGCAGAAACATTCGCCGTAGTCGATGCCAAAGAAAAAAAGAAGTTCAACCTGAGATCTTGCTCGAAGCAAACTTCAACGTCGGCATCCACCTCTTCGGGTGTGCACATATTGCTGAAAACGCCTTCCTTGATAAGAATTGGCTTCAAAGCTGCAAAACCGAAAACGATGCCGCTAGCGAACCAACACGCAAGAACCGTTACGATAACCTGTGCTGTGATCGTATGTTAGTGGTCAGAACGCGAATGCGATGCAGCCAAACTTACCGATACGCTTGCCCGTTGGCACCTTGTATGGCGTCAAGCCTCCAGGTTCCTCGCCCGGTGCGAGCTCCTCGGGCTTGGGTATTATGTCGTAACTGATAACTCTCCTCACGCTCTTTCCTTGTGCGCTCAAGAAGCCAGCTCCCGAGATGGCGCTCTCAAGAGAAAGCCGACGTTCCGCAGCATCCTGTCGGCTAATCTGGCGGTCGACAGGCGGTAAGAACAAATCTACCAACGCCTCCTCGCGATCAGTGCCCTCTTGCTGTGTAACATGCTGAATCAGCGACATGGGAAGTCTGCAGCGAGGCGCTCGTCGTTAGAAACGCAGGGCAGAGTAGACGTCTGAAGAAAAGAATCAAAGGGGCTGTGAGTGTTCGGCTCGTCGAGGGCGACAGAAGCTAGAAAAGCGGAGGAGCGGAGTTAAATTGATGCGCGTGCCCTGACACGAGACCCACGATCTAGACATAGCGATCGCGGGGGTCACATGTCACATGCAACAAGTTCCGGCATCACGGAGCCGTTGGCTATGTTGTGTAGACGTCAATAGACGCTCCTGCAACCCTGAGAATTGAGTATACACTGTCGGCGGGTACGCTGCATGCTCGCTTACTAGAGAAACGCCGCGAAACGTCTAAAATGGTCGGCGTTGTCGCGATTGATTGGTTCCGCGCTGGTCCCGAAGCGGAAGGTTCGTCGCCGATCTCCCCAACCATCTTCCCGCAGGTTCCATGAGTTGCAACCCTTGGATTGCGGCGCACAGGGTCTTGATAAGAGAAAAGCAAGCAGTTTGAGGCTTGATAAGGTCCACACCGCCAGTCTGTCAGGCGCAGTATTCAATTCTTCAGAGAGGCGATACACACTCAGGGTGTTCGCAGCCCTCCCCGTCGCATTCTACAACAAAATGCCGCCTATCTAATCTTTGTGGTATACGTTCGCATCGAAGTTTGTAGGAAATTGGTCCCGCCCTTCAGCATCGCTTCGCACCCAGACCGCGACACTGGTGCCTGGGCAGTTGAACAGTCCATAACCTTCGCTGTCTATCTCGACCTCACTCTCCTCCCACCCAAGGATGTCAGTCCACTTCTCACCGGCATGCATCTCGCCAACAGCCATCTTGATCTGACCGGGACCTGCGTTGCTCATCACACACGCCAGACCCGCTTTCCTGTCCCATGTTCCACGACGCACAAACCCGATGCAGTTGGCTTCGTTGAAGTAGTCCTCCTGTGTTCCGTACGCGAAGAGTTTTCGTGCGAGAATGAGATCAGCGAGCTTTCCACCACATGAGGCAGGGGTCTCATGCGGCTCTGAGAGACCGTAAAGATCGCCGTAGAATGGGCATGGGTAGCCTTCCTGCCTCAGCAGAATGAGAGCGTAGGCAAGAGGCTTGAAGAAGCCCTCGATCTTGGTCTCCATCACCTGCCCAGGTTGTGTGTCGTGGTTTGTAACGACCGTAACAGCATCGGTAGGACGCATTTGAACGAGTGTATTATCGTAGACCTTCCTCAGGTCCGCCGATTCGCTTGTCGAGATGGACCCGAAGTTGTTCAGGAGAGGCGAGTCGTAGAGAGCGAACTCGTGGTTCATATCGTCGAGCCAATCGCTCATCTCTTTTACATCTCCCGACCAGAACTCGCCGACCACGAAGATGTCGTCTCCACACTGTTTGCGCAAGTTCTTGATCCATTCATTGGTAAATCTTGAGGAGAAATGCTGCACAGCGTCGAGCCGGAAGCCCTTCAAGCCAAGCTCTTTAGTGATCCACACGCCCCAGTTCTTGACGTCTTCTTGAACCTCAGGGTGCGAGTAGTCAATGTCGGCAAACATCATGTAGTCCGCGTTGCCTTGCTCATCATCCACGGATTGCGACCAGCCTTTGTTCTCACCTAGAATCTTATAGATGGCTTTCTTCTCCGTGGCTTGGTCCCAATCGGTACCTGAGAAATGCTCCCAGTGGTATTTCATCTTGGAGTATTGCTCGCCACGGCCCGGAAAATCGAAGCCTAGCCATCCCTCGATTTCGAAGGCATCAGAAACCTCCTTAGTGCGATCATCTTGGTCAACTTCCACAACACGGCACTTCTCCGTTTGGTCGGCTCCAGCCTTGTGGTTCAATACGGCATCCCAGTATAGGCCCACGCCATGCTCCTTGGCGACCTTCGTAAGTTCGAGTAGCTCTTCTTTAGTTCCCCATTTGGTTCCCTTTTGACCTTTCTGATCAAATTCGCCGAGGTCGTACAGATCGTAGATGTCGTAGCCAACGCCCTGAGGGTTCGCACCTTTACAGCCAGGGGGTAGCCATATGTTGGTAATACCGATGGCTTTTAGCTTAGGAAGCTCTTCGGCAAGGCGCCGCCAGTGCTTGTGATCGTCCGGGACGTTCCATTCGAAACCCTGGAATAGGGTGCCATTCTCTGGTGTGGGCTTCCGTTCTAGGAATTGGTTAGGTTGGACATCGGGAACGAATACCGTTAGCACCCACCTTCGGAGCTCATTATGAATCTCAATATATATCTCCTGTATCAGAGAGAGTTGTTTCCAAATAGTTCTGGGTAGCAGAGGAGTTTGGTTGAGCAAGCAGAGTCTTCGCCAGTGCCATAGTCAGATTTAAGGAAAACATCATCGCTGATAGCGCGTGAATAATCCTGCGTTGGTAGGGGCTGAGCAGGTTTGTCTATCATGTACCCTGCGTTTGCGCTGGCTACCAAGCGTCCAAGTACGGCGCACGGGTGGTGAATGGGGCCTGGAAGCGGCGCTGTTCAACAATCTGCGCGGATGACGTCAGCGTTCAGCTTTCATCCCGCGGACTCCAGGGCTTCAATGGGGCGAAGACACGTCGCCAGAGTGTGAACGAAGGACGACGACAATCGCGGTACCATTAGCGCGATGCCACCCGCGGCTACCCAGGTAGTATGTAGTGTCTCTAGGTTGCATGCGGACATTTGCGGAAAGATCGTCGCTGTTGCGACAGCCGCGGCGGAGTCTACACAGGTCTCTGCAGCCTACATCAGGATTATTTTGGTAGACAGAATAATCCAATAACAACGTGACCTTCTGACTTCACAATTCGCGCACCATGTTCTTTCATCAAGTTGTAGCAGTCATGCCTTTGCGTTTTGGCGGGGAAGGGAAAGCCCTAAAGGCGCGATGGAGCTAGTCCGGTCCAGGGAAGGCGCACTCTACCTAGGTACACGGCGTGAGGGTGCAGCCTTACCTGCGTACTTCTGACCTCTCACCCATAATTTATACATTGTTTGCGACTTCAACATCCAATATCAATCGTATTCAACAAGCGCGCGAAAATGGTCCTGTCGGATGCCTCAAAGGCTGATCAGGCTGCGACCGCAGGCAAGAGCCAACTCATCGTCCGCTTCTACGACCCCGATGTACGCGCCAAGGACGCCCTCGGTCGGCAACTCGATGAGATACTGGCATGGCCAGACAGCAGGCTGGAAGCGTCCCATAACTATGTTCAGATGCTCTTTCCGCTTCCAGAGGGTTCTCCATACAACAGTGAAGTAAGCCTTCCCGTTTACTGATGTCGTACCCGGGAGGTATTCGCCATGGTGGAAATCCACACATGTCGAATTGCAGCCTCATGAATACCTCCAGGGTACAGCGAGAATGCAACGATGTATTCAATCACTTTGGCAATATGTTGACCATACACAGGCCCCAGTCGTCAACCTCGAAGTAATGCAAGCCTTCCGTTCACGGAGTGAGCTACGGCAGAACCTACGACGAAGCTTCGAGCGCATGCTCAGCTTCTACGGCTTCATGATATCCAACAAGTCAGAAGCGGAGGCCAAGCAAAGCGAATCGTCTGAAACAGCCTCTTTCCCACCAGGTGCCCACACAAACATCTCCGCATCCAAACCCCTTCCATACCACATCGTCCGCGCGCCAGATTATCGCAAGAAGTTCGCCAACTGGGCCATTAGGTTCGACCATAACCATCTTCGCATCACGCGCATCCTCCGGTGCCTTCGCGTTCTGGGCCTACAGACTGAGTGCATGGCCTTCTTTGATGCGCTCGAACGCACATTCGAAGACCCACAGATCAGCATTAGTGATAGGAGTATGGGTTATTGGCGGCTGGCTGTTACGCGTCCTTTGTATTTGGCTCCTGATGACTCCAAGTGCAAATGGTTGGTGGGTTGGGAGAAGGAACAGGAGAATCTCACCCAGGTCGACGAGGAGAAATCGAAGAATGAGCAGGATGGGGTGCAGAAGCAGAAGTCGGTCACGTCTGGCGATGGCGTGGAGGGTTGAGTTGCTTGCACTTCATGAGGACGTGGAAGCACGTCAACCTAGGAAAAGACTCAACACCCTGGAGATCCTTAGATCAGTCCCTTAGATTACATCACGCAGTATGGGGACACTGCTTGAATGGTTGCTCGCTCTGAATAGACTAGGCGACGATGTAGCCACTTCATTGATGAATCTACATAACCATGATGAAGTCCGGGTCACGGTCGTCACCTCTACCCTCAAACTCAGCATACTTCCCACTCGCCTTATCCTTATTGATCTTCCGCACCCACAAAACATTCGCAGCAATCCTATCGACACGTTAGTAGGGAGTTCCAACCAAAGCTAAGATCTCAAAAAACTTACAGAACCCAAGCCGCGCAAAGCAGTCCCAACATGATGCTATGACTCTTGTGGAAATGATTCTCCTTTTCGCTCTTTGGATACACGAAGCTGGCCACAAAACCACCTGCATTCGCAATAGCGAGCTGCAAGGCAGAAGTAGTCGCGCGCTTGTAGTGGCCAGCAGAGTTGTTGCTGTTCCAAGAGAGGATGCACGGTACAGTTGCGTACATGCCGGTTGCCATGAGGAAAGTCATGCCGTATTGGACCTTGGGGTTGGTGGATTGGCTGATGACGCCGTAGCCGATTATGGCAACAGGTAGGGTACATAGCATGATGGGACCACGTAGAGCAAGACGATCGGATAGGAGAGCGACTGCTACTGTAAAAACTGATGCCACGGCGTACGGAATTACGGTCCAGAGCTGTGCCTCGTTGGGGTCCTTGGCGAAGCCGTTGTTGATGATGGTGGGGAGGAAGAGACCGAAGCTGTATAGTCCGCTCAAGATGGCGAAGTAGGCCAATGCAGTGAGCCAGACTTGGACGTTGAATACTCCGCGCTTGACTTCTGCCCAGTCGAAGCGCTCGTGGGATGCGCTTTGCTCGCCGAGCCGGAATCGAGCGTGCTCTTTCTCGTCGGGAGTGAGGAATTTGGCTGATTCGATGGAGTTGGGTAGGAAGAGCGCGGAGCATACGCCAACGAGTACGGTCAAAAGGCCTTCCACAATGAAGATCCACCGCCAACTATTTGTACAGTTAGATATCGGTTGTTAGAAGTGAGGGTCTGTCTCTTACCCTTCAAGACCTCCAGCAGGTCCAATCGCATTGAGTCCGCGCGCCAGCAGACCACCAAAAGCACCCGATAGGGACGCTGCTGTATAGAAGATACCGATGCGCAAAGCCAACTCTTGTCTGCGGTAGAAGCCAGTAAGGTAGAGTACCATGCCCGGCAACAATCCACCCTCAGCACAACCAAGCAATGCGCGAACAGTAACGAATGACGCGAAGTTGGTGACGAAACCAAGGCACATTGTCAAGATCCCCCACACCGCCGTCAAGAGCGGCAGCCAGATCTTTGGCGACATCTTCTTCAGCACCAGGTTCGACGGGAGCTCACTGGCGATATACGTAGCGTAGAAGACGCATAGGCCGATCGAGTATTGGTGATCGTTGATGTTGATGTCCTTCTCAAGACCCAAGATCTTCGCATTGCCGACATTCGTACGGTCGATGAAGGAGCACAGGAAGAGGAGAGCGAGAACGGGTAGGATGCTGTGCCTGTCAGCGCCATGCTTCTGGAAGAATGTAGTAGATCGAAGAAGTTAAACATACCGGATATCCATCTTAAACAACAGTGTCTTCGCTGCTTTCCCATCCTCACCAAACCCCGCCTCCAACCGCTCACTCCCACTCCCATTCTCGAATTTCTCATCGTGCATCTTATCAAGGCTCATGTTGAACAACCTCAGAAACCCCAATCGGTACAAGCAGAGAAAACAGAATCTGGAACGCAGCTCAAGAAAAGCGTTGACAAAGAAACCTCGAGTGCGCGACCAGCTTACTTATTCCCCCTCCCTCCTCAACGGGCTCCCGGTAGCGCCATGTACACCGCAACCACCGCCGCCCCCCAAACTGCCCAGAAACGGCGCTACCCATGCTGACCCCATGGGGGCGGGCGCAAGGGTTACGGCACAATCGGGATTATCTGTCGTGCGATTGGCGGAGTTGTGCTGCCGACGAGTGAAGGGCTACCCCGACTGCACCAAGCTTATGCTTGAACCATGCCAAACCATGCATAGCGCTCTTAAGGCAGACAAGCGATCGGCAGGCTTGACATCAGCGTTACTGACTCGGGCGTTAGCTGTACGAGCTGCGGATGTTGTTCTGTTTCCGAAGGCTTTTGTAATCCGACGTGGATTAGATAAGGGAGGAGTCGCGGATAGCAGCTCGGATGAGTGTAGCCATGTAGGTATGACATGGCGGGTTTTGTGGTTTGTTGATGAAAGCGCATGTGGAGGGCTGATCGCGGATCGGCGGTACCAAGCTTTTCGTTGTGCCCAGGTGCTGGATGGAGCGTGGACCAAGCAGTGCGAAGCCTTTCAGCCGCCCACTTGGACAGCTTGGCTGCCCCCGAAATTCGGTATGCCAACTCGACGATGAACTCCCAGGTGCCAGTGTCGTGGGAGATCGTCAACGGTTTTGTTGCATGCCCAGGTGCGATGGAAATATAGTCTGAAGCTTCTTTTCTGGTAACGCAACGTTCTGTCTTGGAGATTGCGCGCGCATCACAGCACGCGCTGTTATCGGAAGCGACCAAAAGCACCAAGCTTGCACTTTGGGTAACCGACGATCTGGCTATCGCAATCGCCATGCTTTGTTTTTCTGGTAGGGTCATGAGACATCTGTTGGATGATCAAACAGCCTGCGACGATCAAATGACGCGTAAAACGGTCAATTCTTTCAGGTTTGTCGTATGGCTCGCGTTTCCTCACAATTGCATCACGACTCAAGATAGGCTGTGTGTGGAAATTGACAACGATCATCACTTGGGTATGCTACGCCAAAACTACACAAAATGTCTACTCCATGGTCTTAAGATCAGGCGCAACCTCAAAGCTAGCATCTGTCTTTGCCTTGACATCCTCGACGCTCACACCAGGCGCGGTCTCGGTAAGCGTCAAAGTACCACGCTTCCGGTTGACTTCAAATACACACATATCTGTAATGATGGTGCTGACGCACTTGGCTCCCGTCAACGGCAGCTTGCATTCCTGAACAATCTTGCTTGATCCGTCCTTTGCGACGTGCTCAGTAGCGACCACTACTTTGGTGGCTTCTGGGTTGCTGACGAGATCCATGGCGCCACCCATGCCCTTGAACACCTTTCCGGGTACCATGTAGT